TACTTTCTCCACCACTGGTCTGAAGACACCTACCGCGCACTTTCCCCGCCGTTCGCGCCGAACCAGCCACCAGGCAGCAGCTCCGGTTGGAGAAAGGCTGTCATGTTCCATGCGTCGCGCCAGTTATTTTAGATAAGCTAAAATATTCGTCCCCAAAAGAACGATAAAACGCGGACATTTTCATCTGTCGATGAAATCCCGCCTGGATGTCTCGGACCGAACTTGAGGATATATAGCCATAGCTGCTAGCACATAGCATTCGTCTACAACTCACAGGCGGAAGTGAGAGCTTTTGCGCAACACAAATAACCATCCGGCCGGAACACGGGGTGCATAATAATAACATATAATTTAACAACGCTTAATCGAAAGACTGGGAGTTTATTCTGAAGGATGCTAACATGTCTTTTGGGCATACTCATCTTTATTGTAATAAATCATCAAAATATAATTATCAAAGAGGCTTCATCAAGTTTTGTTTCAGCATTTCATTAATTATTATTTTCAAGGTTCATGCAACTTTGAGAATCACTCATGTGGTTGGGAGGACACCAGTGAATCATCCTACAGCTGGAGACGGCAGATGGTAAACACCTCAGTACCAGGACAGGACCACACAACAGGGACCCCTTGGGGTAATCATTAGTGTTCCTTTGTTAATTAATTATTTGCCAACATGCATTGTGAGTATTTAAAACACTTTAAGAAGCAGATGTTTTCTTATTTTTTTTTTTTTTTGTGTGCTCAGGATATGTCATGTATATAGATGGTGAACAAAATCATTTCTTTGCTGAAGCCACATTGGAGCATCCTGTCAACCAGCTGGCTGCTTTGGGATGCCAAATTAGGTAGCAAGAACTAACATTTCACGTTGATTATTGAGCACAAATTGTGGGATCTTTATCTGGTCCTTTTTGTGCCAAAAGTCATCTGCTTTTCTTCATGCATATGTTTCAGTTTTTGGTATCATATTTATGAAGACAATCCATCCCCAATATCATCATCATCCCTTAAAGTAAAAATGATCAGAGACACAGTTGAGAGAAATTTACTAGAGATTTCCAAAAGAGAAACTGATGGTTGGGAGAATGCAACGGCTTTTATTGGTAATCAGCCAGGAGGCTACAAGGTTGGTAAACAAACTTGTTTATTCTGTGGATTTTAAAAAATACATTTGTGTTTTGAAAGTAAAATTTTTATTTTCCTTGATGGCTTAAAAATAAACAGATCTTATTTTCCTTCATGCAGTGTTTTCCAGGTTTTATTGACCTTTGTCTATGTCATGTTTGGTGGAGCCAAAATGCAGAACAGTGGAGGTGTGAAGTAGATGATAAAAAAATATTTAATGATGAACACAAAAACTCGCAACAAAAAAAAAAAAACATGGGGCCATGGCAGAAGACAAAACCATAACTTCAAGGAGACCCTAAGGGAAATAAAATAATCAAACCTCAAAAGCAACTCAGGAGCCTAGCAGTCTATTCTTTATTCACCTTTTTAGAAGTATTAGTGTGAGATTATGATGCAGCAACATAATATTTATTAAGTTTTATTAAAACACATTTATATTGAGGTTATCTTAAATTGTGCATACTACAATTCATAACAAGAAACTTAAGTTCTGATCTGATTTGTCTTTACTTCAGAAAAAGTTCCACTTAAAGACATAAATACATATACTCTGCATACTAAAGTGGAAGATGAGGGCATTGTTTTAATTTTTTTTTAGGACAATGAGTAATACAGTTCTGAATATTTTTATTGTACTACCTAAGAAAAGCATTTGTTTTGTTTGGATATTTGTATTTAATCTCATGTTCAACAGATGTGGGAGGAAAAATCCTGAATAGAAATGTTTAAAAAGGCATTTTTGATTTTCTGCAACAAATATAAGGTTTTCTCTCTGCACAGCTGCTGATTTCTTATGAGCCTTCATTTGGGGAAAAAAAAGATGTTATGCTGGACGATATCAGCTTTGAGAACTGTGCAGAGGGAGACGTCCCAGAGGAATCCGACAACCTGTCATGCGATTTTGAAAAGGATACCTGTTCCTGGTACCATGACTACACAGCTAGTCTGTTGTGGAAGAGAAACAATGGGGCGTATGAAGACCTAACTGGGAATGGTAAGCATTGTAATGAGGAATTCAATGAGAGGAGAGAAGTGAGAAATTAAAACTTTGAGTTCATGGTTAAAGATTTAGAAACTTGCATATCAACATAAAAGAAAACCTAGACTAACCAGACAGGAAATAACAACTAGTGCTTTGCAAATTTATTCACATTCCTTAACCTTTTTCATATTCTATCACTTTACAACCACAACCACCAATGTACTTCATTACTATTTTTTGTGATAGACTAATTCAAAGTAGCACAATTGTAAATTAGAATGAAAAGGTAGGTGTTGGCATTAATCAGAGGAAGTGACAAGGATAATAATTGATGATCTGAAGGGGCTAAAGACATCCATGTAGAAATGTTAGTCATACACTCCACAAATATCTGCTTTAAAGCAGCAAGAAGACATTCATTTTTGAAAGAATCCTGAAGTCCAGTTTGTACCTTTCCATAATCCATTTGGGGACTGAACAAACATTAAGGAAGAAAGACCTACACTGTCCATAATTAAAATGTTTTTACAAATAAAATTTTACACAAGATCAGGTCTGTGTCAGAAGCTGTTAGAAACCTATCCCCAAAGATTTGTTGCTGCAATCGCCATGAAAAGAGATTCTTGTAAAGTATTGACTGTGGCTTTTCCAAATAAGTACTATCTTGTGTTGTCCTAGTACTTAAAATAAATGTTAGATCCATAAAATTTTGTGTCTGAAAAGGGCAAAGACAAAATACTTGTAATCAGATCAGTAATTTCTCCATATTTGTATGAATAGATTGTTTGTGGAATAAAAAAAAACACTAAAGCAAATTGTATTTCTGTTTCTCTTTTCTCTACAGGTTACTTCATGCTTATAAAAGCTAATAACCAACTGGATATATCATCAACAGCCAGACTCATCAGCTTCCCTAAACCTGCCGGCCAAACCATCTGTGTGAGCTTCCGTTACTACATATTTGGGAACAGCATTGGTATGTGTTTCCCTGCTCACATCTATTCCACAAATAAAATAAGGCTTTTTAGCATTTTATCATAAAGTACAGTAATATTATAAAGTATCAGTGATTACAACAACTTCTGCTGTTGTAATTAGGATCCCTGAGGTTTATTACTAAACACTCCGGGGAACCAGAAACAGTCGTCTGGATGCGAAGTGGCACACAGGGAAACAAATGGCGGTTTGCAGATCTTACCTTCAACAGCAACAGACCAATACAGGTATTCTCATTACAGTTTACAATATGCATATTTTTGCTTTGACAAATAAAAATATTTTGCAAATTGTGGAGGGTTAAGTATCAGAAATAAATAAGTCACCTTCATGTAGGTTTAGAGTTGTGTATTCACGTTTAGCTGCATTGATGTTCTGAATCTTCACTTCAATTCATCCTCCAGTTCATTATAGAAGCTGTGGTGGGCGGCACACAGGGGAGCATCGCCATTGATGACGTTGAGGTGGCCGCTAGTTTGAATGGCTCGTGTCCACCTGAGAGAGAGTGTACTTTCCAGGGTTCTCTTTGTGGCATGCAGCCTCATCCTTCTGCAAACTTCAGTTGGGATCGGATCACAGGCGTGTCCCAGCCAGCCAACTCTTCAGGTCCCACCAAAGATCACACTCTGGGGACAGAGCAAGGTCTGCAGCTTCATTACATGACATCTTGCAAAAATATCCATCCAGCCTTTCTGTTTTTTTTTTTTTTTTCCATCATGTTAGAACCACAAACCTGAGGGTGTTTTAATGTAGTTTGATAGGCCGACACAAAGTAGGGCTTTATTGTAATGCACAAGGGATGGTTTTTATTCATTTTTTTGTTTACAAATAAAAAAATGGTGCAGAGATAAATCCTCATAACCTGATGCTGCAACCATTATGTTTTATCGTTGGAAGGGTGAGCTCAGGGTGATGTACAATCTGCAAATAGAACTTCAAGTAAACAAAGTCAACAAAAAGCTTTCTGTTTAGCATTCTCCCATATGAGACAGTTTTATAGAATGCATTGCTGATCGTTTTGGACCTCCTTAGTCAATTTGTTTAGTTGTACTATATGTCCTGCCGGTTGCAGGACTGGAGTCCTGCAACTTTTAGGACTCTCTTGTTCTACACACTTGAATTAAGTGGTGAAACTGCCTTACTAACATTCAGTCAAGCTCTACAAAGTTTTGCTAATGAGTTCAAATTGGAGCTAAGAGTGCTAAAGCAGAGACATATCTAAACGTTGCAAGACTCTGGCCCTCGAGGAATGCAGTTTGAGACCACTGGATTAAGCAGTGCTCTGTGAGATGTTGGCAGATAGTTTTATATCTTAGCCCTGCTTTAAGCTTATCTTCGGCTTTATTCTTGACATGTCTGATGTGGTCCTTGGTGTTCATGAGACTTTTGTGCACTAATTTTCTTGAACAAACTTTAGACTAGATTACACACAGATGAACTCTACTTGTATTTTTGACTTCTGAAGTTGCACTGAATTTGATTTAGGGTTGTCAGGGTAAAGAGGGCCATCTACTGTGTGCATGCTACACAGTATATAGACCAAATTTCATTAGTAAAAAAGTTTGAAGACAATGCACAATTTCCCTTCCACTTTACAATTATTCACTACTGTGTACTTTCTATATCACTTTCCAGTAAAATGCAGATGTTTACTGTATGATAATTGATGCATCCAAGCAACACTGACACATTTTTCTCTATTTGTAGGTTACTACCTGAGTGCTGGGTTGTGGAAACACTCTGTGGGAACCAGAGGGGCTATGATGGCTCTGATGGAGCCGACACCGCTCGATGGGGAATGCCTAATGTTCTGGTATTACATGGAAGGAACAGGAGTGGGAGAACTGAGCGTTTACCTTCAAAGTGACAGCCAAGAAAATGCCACCAAGCTGTGGACAAGAGTAGGCGATCAGGGATCGCACTGGCGGCATGGGAGAGTAACACTTTACAATCCACAAAGCAATTATCAGGTAGCGACACAGTCTCACATTAGTCATGTTTGCAGATTGTGATTTCTGGGGGAAAATGTAACTAAATGTTTTATCATTTTTAGCAATAAATGAACATTTTAAAAAGGAGATTATTACCCACATTTGGATGGTTTCACAGAAGTTTTTTTTTTTGTCTTTATTGGTTTTACCGATATTT